GCCCTAAACCAAAGCACCAAAGCGCCGAGGGTTCAGTATGTTTCTACGGTTCAGGGACGAAGGATGCCTCAGTGGCAGATCCACCGCGAATCGGGGATAAGGTTTATGGGTCGCATGAACCCTTCTACACAAAAATTCGCCCCACACCCGAAATCCGAATCCTGCCATCGCAGTTCTGAGTCCCTGAACCCAAATTCCTTAACCTTCCGAGGTCATGCCTACCGCCGGCCTTTCCCCCCTCACCTGAACAGATCCGGAGCTCAAGCCCCCTCAGCGAGCCAAAAAGCGCTTCGAGAAGCCCAAGTCTGCCCAAGCCTGAAAGCCCTCCCTAGAATCCTGAGCTGGGCCCCGGGCCCTCAGATCGCTGGATCGCCTAAGGTGTTTGGATTTTTGGCTCCAGGGGCCGAGCGTGCCCAGAGGGGTAGCATCTGTTAAGGTCACACGATCACACTATTGCTGCTAAGGCCCCGTGGTCAGACTCGCATATATATGTATATATGTGTGTGTGTGTATCTATGTGTGTATATATATATATATATATGTATATGTATATGTACACGTACTATATGCACATCCATATAATTATGCTTCTACATATACAGGTACACAATAGGTACACATATATGACTGCTTCCATAGGATTTTGTACAAATATGAAGAGCAACTAATCAACGGTCACAAGAATGAGATTCTGTCCTTAGTCCGATACTGTGCAGCAGCTCAAGCTCTTGCTGAGACTGCGGATGTACCGCCCCGCCCAAACAGACATCCTGATTGAAGCGATGCACACCCTCGGATTTTCACCATGGGTCGTCATTCAATCGTCGTTCCGTGTACCCTCAAGAATCAAGAAGGCACGTATTGCTAGACACTGTAGACGAAGTAGCCTCGGCCCCGACGCTGCATTGAAACACAGACTCATCTAGCATGCTGACGGAGCTCCCACTCAGCCTTACAGCATTCCTATGCCGCTTGACTGCATTTTTCCGTGGCTTCGAGTTTGCAAGCTTGAGGATGAAGGGGCATCAGGACAAGGGTTTGCAATTTCGTGGTCTACTGTTACAGCTTCATTATTTTGATGAGCCGGAGGCTCTGCTGTGGCAAAGACGGACTTCGGGGGAGTGGGGAAGCTCCTCCTCGTTTACATTACCATAATTATATATACTGCACAGTGCAACCACCCCTGAACAGATTCGTCGAGAAAGTGATTCAGGAGCAGAGGCTGCCGTATTATGCGAAAACGCATCCGTCGAGTTCCACCCCCGACCCGCTTATGTAGATAGTATGCACGTCGTGCGTGTTCTGACGCTGGCACCTTATGGAGTAGAGGGGTTGCGAAAGGATGCAGCAGGGCTTTGCAGGCTCGCGACGACATCCCATGGTACGAGGATTGTCCCCGGACCTGGAGCGGCGCTATGCTTGTCGATCTGTAGGGATCTGGCCTTGCATGCTTACTTACCATAAAAGCTCTCAGAACCAGCAAGTCGATCGGGCCACGTGAGTTTACATGGCATGTGCCCGAAACGAAAAACGCCCGGAGATCCCGAAGAGGCTTGGGCTTAGGTTTTCTTTGCAGGCTTACGCTATGTTGGAATGTTTCGCACTTGGCAGGAATCTCAACCTTCCGCTAGGCGCCTTGCTACTTGTAGGTATCCAACGTCTTGTGAGCAACTTGCAGCATCGTGGCTCTGGATTTGTTCAAGTTATCTGACAAGGAAGAGTGACTTATATTGTAGCATCGTAGTCCCACCTGCTACACCCATGAGCCAAATCTCGAAGACATGCACCTCGCTTTGTGAGGTTGTTGCGGTTTGCTGGCTTGTGATCGCCAAGTGTCCCTGCAGCTGAGGATGCTGAGCGAAAGTGTTGGTTGGAGTGCAGGCCTAGGTGAAGGCTTCTTTCTTCTCGGCTCTTTGTCATCCACACATTCTGCTGAAGGCGTACTGTATCTTCGGAGAGTTTTGGAGGTGAATGGCTTGCTGGCCGCCGCTATCTTCGTAGGCATCACATGCTGAGAGTGGCGCGGGACGACAAGTTGATAGCTTCTCTGGTCATCAATAGCGATACCCGAATTTTTGGGCCCTGAACAAGAATGTTTCACTTGCGTCCAGTATATGTATCTGTATATGTATATGTACAACATGTATATGTATGCTATGTATATGTGTATGTATATGTATATGTATTGTGGGTTCGTCTATCTATCTGTCTATCAATCTGTCTATCATCAGCCTTGTTCGACAGACGTCATTGGGAGCGCAGAGTCTTCACGTACGACAACACACATGCACTTCTGTGTGCCTGCGCGTTTGCTCGTGCGTGCGTGACACTGCTTGCACACCGTACAGCAGCTTTCTCCACCACTTCAGCCATTGACTTGATTCTGAAATGCCGGGTCTTGATACAACTTAGGAAAAATTGGGCCGAGCTGTTTTGTTTCACGTACGATGCCGACGATCGAGATGCGCAGCTGATCCGTGACGAACGACGCCAAGTGCAGGCCGACTGCGATCCCGTGGCATTAAGTTGAGATACGGGATGCGTGGCTTTGAAAAAGATAGGTGCAGTAGTCACTAACCTGGCACACAAACACATGATGGTTGTTCAGTTGGGACGGTTAGGATGGTCAGAGTACCAACAGCAACGATCGTATCAGGAAGGACCGCATGGATGAGTCCTAGTCTTAGTCATCTCAGCGGTAGCAATGGCTACATGTCAACGATGGTAAACGGCGCTATCATTCTGCCTCGGAACCTAAGCCTTAAGCTTGGTCCCAAGCCCTATAATCAGATTCATCAAACTCCACCCCCACGCCCCCGACTAAAACCGTTCAGCGCTAAAGCTCGAAACCCCAACTCCCAACACACTGAAGCTGAACTGGGCAACCGCATGCGGTGCTACTACTACGACTACGATTACTAGCAGTACTACAACAACAACAACTACTACTACTACTACTACTACTACTACTACTACTACTACTACTACTACTTCTTGTACTACTACTACTACTACTACTACTACTACTACTACTACTACTACTACTACTACTACTACCACTACTACTACTACTACTACTACTACTACTACTACTACTAGTACTAGTACTAGTACTTCTACTACTACTACTACTACTACTTCTTCTACTACTACTACTGCTACTGCTACTACTAGTACTAGTACTAGTACTACTACTAGTGCTGATGCCTGAAGCCCTCTCCCTTGTAGAGTCCAGCGAGTGGAGCTCGTTGTGTTCAGGAAACTTGTTTTGGCCGAGCGGATGGCTCAAGGAGCCATGATCGGCAGAAGCCAGTCGTGATGTGGCAGTGTAGCCATGATCGACAGAAGCCAGCATGTATGCAGAAGCTAGGACTTGCCTTAAGCTGTGCACAGAAGTGCTTAAGGACTGCGTACTTTCGGTGTTGCGTCGGAAAACGTAGAGAGGGCTTTGCGCTGTGCTTCATGGTGTTTCGGAGTCCCTTGGGGATCATCCGATAACTTTGGAACGATACTGAGAAGAAAGCGAGGCCGTATGTTGTCTTCAGCTGAGGAGCCTGGGGGTAACCCAGCTCTTCAGGTGATGAGCCCAAGCGCTCCCGCTACGCATGATGAAGTTCCGCAAAGGGCTGAAGCAACATATGGTTCCGATGTTGGGTTGCCAAACGGGGTAGCTCGACAAGGAACTCAGGCCTCGATGAGCAGCTCAGAGCAGATCGTGGCGCGTGTAAGCCCCTCTCGAACAGGTGAAGCTGTCACAGTGCGTGAGGACCCAGTGGGCCAGTCTGGCGAGGTTGCGAGACCTGACCTAGCCAGATGGCAGTGGGAGGTCAAGCAACTGTAGCTGCAACTATGGCCTTGGGAGATGGGAGTGTGCATGCTGTTAGGGCTGACATGGAAGTGCAGCAAGGCGCTTCGTCACTGGCAGTGGTTCGTTGGATCTCAAGGTTGAACGATTTCCTGGCGAGCCAAGGTCAGACTGTGTTGGATTCGGTTGGGTTTAATGCGACGCCTACTCAGGGGCCCCGACATTCGAGAGCAACACAACCAGCCTTGACACCAGCAGCAACACCCACAAGAAGCCAGCAGCCGGCAGCAGCAGCGATGAATCAAGGATCACTGCAGGGCTCTCCGTTGCGATTCTCTCCGCCTGAGGACTTGCCGCAGGGTCGTGGGAGTGCGTTTCGTCAAGGGGACCCACAAGGCTTTGAGCCTCTCTTGTTCTCTCGTGAGGCGTGGGAGCAGATGATGAGGTTTTCACAGAGAGCTCCATGGCTTTATGGGCGAGGAGGGCAGTCTCAAGGGGACTCGACGACGGGATCTTCAGAAGTTCAGGCGGAGGTTCAACGTCAGATGGTCAGATGGATGCTTTGATGAGGGCACAGTCCTATCAGCTTGAGGAGATGCGTGATGAGATCGACTTCTTGAGGGCTGAGAGGGCGAGGGTACTGGCTGATCGGGTGCCAAGGGGCAGTGAGCTTCGACAAGACGGTCGCCGGCATCCATGTGATCTTCGCGGTGGGCTTCAGGAAGACGGGCCTCGGCATCCAGGAGATCTTCGCAGTGGGCTTCAGGAAGATGGTCGTCGGCATCCAGGAGATCTTCGCAGCGGGGAAGATGGTCGTCGGCATCCAGGAGATCTTCGCAGTGGGCTTCAGGAAGATGGTCCTTGGCACCCAGGTGATCTTCGCAGTGGGCTTCAGGAAGACGGTCGTGGGCATCCAGGTGATCTTCGCGGTGGGCTCCAGGAAGATGGTCGTCGGCATCCAGGCGATCTTCGCAGTGGGCTTCAGGAAGATGGTCGTCGGCATCCAGGTGATCTTCGCAGTGGGCTTCAGGAAGATGGTTGTAGGCATCCAAGGGATCCTCGTGGTGACACAGTTTATGCGCCTAGCCAGTCAGTTGGTATCAAGGGCGCGCCTAGCCAGTCAGTTGGGGATCGTGAATCAGGACACGGGGTTGAGATGGGTTCAGCACAGCTTGGGAATCTACCTCCTGGCCTCCTCGGTGTCAAAGGTCTATGTGAGCAAGGAGACTGTGATCCCAGGGATGGCCGTGATGTTTCTGAACAACGGAGCGTTCGTCCTCGAGTGGGAGCAGGACCTGCAGATGGAGAGGCGTTGAGAATGCCAGCGGGACCGCCGGTGGTGTATGGACCCAACATCAGCGCTACCAAGTGTGAGTCCATTGGAGAACAACGAGTACCAGAGTTGGAGCCGGTTGTGATGGGTGCTACGGAAGGTCATGCGATTCCTTCACAGCAAGCACCTTCGTTGACTGCAAGCGAGCGCCTCTTGGAAACCTTGGCGGAGGGCATGCAACAGCTTCAAAGGGCGCAAATCAGCCAGATGGAGAAGGGTGACAAACGTCGAGAAGATGAGCCTCCGGAGCAATGTAAGCCGGGAACGACCTCGCTTCCTTCACTGCCGAGCCCTACAGGACATGAAAGCGCAGTGGCTCTCCAGGACTGGATGGAGGTGATCGACGGGCCGCTGCGGGACATCTCGGACAGCAGCTCATGGTGGTGGGACGCTGTGAAGGAGAGAGCCCAGGACAGCTACAAGAAATGGGTGGCGTCGGGTCCCTACGAAAGGCTGAGCCTGAAACCGCCAACCGCGGACGACCTCGAGAAGGGCAAGTACTCACGCTTGAGCGCGAGAACGGCGGGGATGATGCTACAGGCGATGTCGGAAGCAGTAAGGACAGAAATGGTGGCGAGGGCGATAACAAGGTCGCCGGTGGCCTTGCTGTTTCGCTTGTTCACCATGTACCAGCCGGGCGGCGAGAGTGAGAAGGCCTACATCCTCCAGTACCTGGTCTCCCCACCGAAGGCGCAGACGGCCAGCGAGTTGGTGACGATCCTTCGGCAATGGGAAAGGCTTCTCTTGAGGGCCGACAACCTGAACATCGCGAAGCCCGACCCGTCGTTGCTGGCGCGAGGCCTGAACATCCTGGTGGCAGAACTATGGGCCAAGGACAAGGATGTGACGTTCAGAACACAGTTGGTGAAGAGCAGATTGGGGGTAGACGTTAACCCCACCTGGGAGTCAGCTCTACAGCTACACCAGCACTTGAGAGCCGAGTCTGAGAACTTGGTGAATGGTCTGCCAACCAAGCCAAGCGTCACTGAGCCTTTGAGGGACCCTAAGCTTCGACCTCTGCAGCCAAGCGGCCAAGGACAACCAAGGCCATCAACCACAGGTACTACCACTACGACAACGACGATGCCTAGCGGTGGTGGAGCAGGCGGAAGTGAGAAAAAGTGCAAGTGGTTCACCGAGCCGGGTGGATGTCGAAGAGGAAGCTCGTGCAAGTTTGTGCATAGCTTTGAGGGCATCTCGAAGAAGGACAGATGCTGTACGTGTGGGGCGGAGGGTCACCAGTCAAAGGCGTGTCCTACGAGGGCGGAGGCGGGTGATGCTGGGAACCCTTAGGCAAAGGCCAAACCGAAGGCAAAGAGTGCACCGGGCACTCCTTCCTCCAAGGACGAGGCGGCGAAGACCACACCCGCGGCGCGGGCAATGACAACTGAGCCAGAGCCGCCGCCAACAGCTCCAACGTCTCCGGTGACTGGAGAAGGCGGTGGAGGTGATGTGAAGGATGCGCTACGTGATGCAGCCCAGGCGCTAAGGTCAATGGTGAGCTCTACGACCTCGGGTTCTACCTCTACGGCGAGCACTCTGGAGAGCCTTCAGAAGCAACTTGATGAACTACGACTGAAGACTATGAGGGTGAATGAGGAGGTGGTGGAGTTGAGGAAGTCGCGGCAGACGCCACTGGACGCTCGGGTGTTTGAGGATTTGCCGACAATACCTACCCTGATTGACTCTGGCGCTACTCACATCCTTCGACAACCTCGTGATGAAACCGAGTTGGGGGCAGCCAAGAAGGTCTCTGTCACGTTGGCCAACGATGAACGACGTGATCTACTACAAGCTGAGTCTGGGGCGATTCTTTCAACCTCGCCGGAAACCCAGCCGATCTTACCGATGGCTGAGCTTGTGAGTGCTGGTGAACTCAAGACTTCACTACGTGGTGGTTGCCCGGAGCTGGCGCAGGATCAGGCCGCCAGGCTCGTGAACCTCATCGAGGAGAAGAAGCTCAAGGAGTTCAAGGAGGGTGTGCACCTCCTTAAGAGTAAGCTCGAGCACCTGATCCACGAGGAGAAGTTACCATGGACCACCTATGCGATGAGGTATGTGGAGAGCGGGTCTGCCAAGAACTTATGGAAGGCGGTGCATGGATCCTTCATGAAGGGGTTCTCCGAGAAGGTTCTGGATGCGTTGTGCCCGGAGGTGCGCTTGCATGATGGGTGGAACGCACTAAAGGCACTACCTCTACCTCGGCGGCTTCGGAAAAGGATGATGGAGTCCACTCGATGGATCGTTCATCTACCTGTGCAACGGGATGAAGCGTTGTTGCGGCCGGAGACCTATGGAGAGGATGCGGTGGTTGTGTCGGTTCACGGAGGACTACTCCCTCAAGCCTACGAAGCGCTGATGT